CAGCAAGTGAAGGCGACGTGGAAATCCCAAGTAAAATACCAACGCGTGGGCTCCGGCTGGCGAGGGCTTGTCCAGGGTTTGGAGGGTCGGGTTTATGCAGCTGTGGGCTTGATTTGCCACATCAGAAGACCAGAGGAGAACCTGTTATCTTCACTGATGCCAAACAAAGCAAATTCATCATTACTGATTTTCAAAAATCACAAACCTTAATCAACTAGGAACCAAAAAGATTTCCCTAATAATAGCAAGTCAGACTAACAGTCAAGCGCCTTCATTTTCAGTAGGGAGATGTGTTCCCTGTAGAGTCAGGAGAAAAGGCAACTAAACCAACAATGCGGTGATGTTGGACACTTTCATGGAAGGTTTAGAGAAAACTAGGTGATCAAATAGGAAGGAAGAAGAGACGACTGCTCATCACTGATGATTATCAGACCTAGAAAACCTAAGGGAATTGACTCAAATAATTAGAAATACGAGGGATAAATAGGTGGTTAATTGCACAATAAATGTTTGCATATATCAAATTAGTAGCTTTTCTATTACAATAATCAAAAAAATACTGAAAAATACTGAAAAATAGATCTCACTCATTATGGCAATAAAAGTAATAAACTATCTCGGATCACTAGTGACAAATGTGTGGGGCCTGGATAAGGTCCTGTATGAGGCCTACCATGTACTTGGATGGAAACACTCAATTTTTATTGTTTATTTACATCTTCTTTGCAGTTCCTTTAAAATCCCAAAGTAGCTTAAAAGAAAAAACACCTGTCAGTAGTTGCAGGCTCATCTGGAGGAATAACTTAGAATCTCCATGCAGACTTCGAAAAAGAGAAATCATGGGGTGGGGAGAGTACTGTGCTCGTGGACTAGGCCCACGGGAGAGTGTCCCTGGGGAGAGCCCGGTGGTGCCCTGGAGGAGAGCTGGCTGGCAGGACAGTGGGAACCGTTGGGAGTCGTTCAGCAAAGCATGAGCATGCAGTAAATGGTTCTGGTAATGTTGTTTTACTCTTTGGAAAAAGTAAAGGTGGGTTTCTTCTGCACTTTTTTCTGCAGCTCCACCACCCAGAGAAAACCACTGCTAGTGTTCTCATGTTAAACATTTTCCTATGTGTGTAAACTATACATAATACTTTTTTTGAAAGAAATGATAGACTTATTTTTATCTGCTTTTTGCTATTGATAACATGAATATTTTTCCTTGTGAATAAATATGTATATGTTTTAAGTTACTTTATTGAGGTCATATTGGCTTATAATATTGTGTAAATTTCAGGTATACATTATTGTACATCAGTTTCTGTAAGATTGCGTCGTGTTCACCACCAATATTCTGGCTTTTATCCATCACTGTACATATGTGCCCCTTTATCCCTTTCACCCTCCCCCAACTCCTTCCCGTCTGGTAACCACTGATCAGTTCTTATCTATATGTTCATTTATCTTCCACATGAGGGAAATCATACGATGTTTGTCGTTCGCTGTCTGGCTTATTTTGCTTTAACATAATACCCTCAAGGTCCATCCATGTTGTTGAAAATGACACAGTTTTGTCCTTTTTTATGGCTGAGTAGTAGTCCATATATGCATATATATATATGTACACACATATCTGTATACACACACACACATATATACACACATATATATATACACACCCCACATCTTTATTTATTGATCCGTCGATAGGCACTTGAGTTGCTTCCAAGTCTTGGCTATTGTGAATGATGCTACGATGAACATAGGGGTGGATAAATCTCTTTAAATTGTTGATTTCATGTTCTTTGGATAAATAATAAATATATTTTTGTAGTACGTCTACTCAGTAGCTGTGTAGGACGAGACCCATCAGGAGCTGAGAGAATTAAGAATTAAGCCCCCGTGCCCTCCCCCATCCTTGATGCGTAATGAGTCACATCTCCGTCCTTGGGAGAATTGGGAGAATAGTCTCTCATTTCATTTGCTCTGTTCTGTGGTTCAGATGAGGAACCCTGGTAGAGAAAGACCACAAGACTCTGAAGTTATCACAACCCCATGCGCAAAGCTGGGGGAAAGTGAGGCATCTGAGCCAGTGGCGTGGAGGCCTATGGGCTCACCCATTGCCCTTGAGGCCTGAGCCGTCCTCAGTGCAGATCCCTCCCGGGTGAGGATGAGAGTCTGTGGGTTGGCGCTGAACTCTGTAGCTGTCAGCATAGGGGCATCTTTGAGAGGTCTTCACAGCAAAGTGCCGGTGTGTGTCGAGCACGTGGTCTGAGCCGGCTCTGCTGTGGGCCTCACGTAATTCTCACCATGGCTCTATGAGGTGAGGGAGTGCTGTGCCACAGTTCAGGGGCGAGTCAGTGGGGGTGCAGGGCCCCATGACTGCATAGTCCTGCTCACTTGGCTATTTAATGGTCAAGTAGGATTATCTTTTTAGGTCCTCTTACCAGAAGCTGATGGGTAAGCCATCAGCTGATGGCTGATTGGATTGGTGCTTCTCTCCTGTCTCCACTCCTTAAAATTCTGCAGCACAAATCAAATCAGCATTTTGGATAAATGTAGAGAATATTGAAGCAAAATTCAGTTCAGTATGAAGATTACCCTGCCCTATATAGGTTTGTGGATTTCCACCGTGGGAAAGGAGTGTTCACTTTTCTTGTGGTTGATTATTAGTTAAATTGGTCACGTTGCATTTAATGCTATGGCATCTTTCACTCGTGAAGGCTTGGGACACGTGGTTGTGGCCGGGCTCCTTGTGGAGACGCTCTGTTTGCTGTTGAGTGCCTTCAAGGATCCAAAGATGAACGGATAGGTAACTTTCGGCCATCTTAAATGTTCTGACACATTGCCAGAGGGCAAGGTGTGTCATTGGGGTCGTTTAACAGGACAGCCTGCCCGAGGGCTCTAACAGGTAAATGTGTTTTTTCTGTTGAGCAAGGAGCCCAGAAGGCGCGAGGGCTCCAGTTCCCCTCTCCCTGCCCTGCCTTCTTCACTCACAGCTTCTCACCGTGCCGCCGGGCAGTGTCCAACCTGAGTTCCAGGACTTTGGGTGTAGGAGACCTTCACCGGGGAGGCAGGCGTGGGTAGAGTTAAAGGAATCGGCTTTCAGATCATCCTACGTAATTTTCCTAAAATTGAATTGCCCGAGAATGTGTGTTTGAGTCCAGGAGTATTGCATGTTCTCCTGACCACCTGTCGTTTCACAACCACCTTTCTGCTTTCCAGGAAATTAGTCATATTCCTCAACCCAGCTCTCACCATGGTGCAGCACCCTAGGGTTGTATGGAGACAAGGACTTCAGAGTACCAGACGCCAGACGAGGAGCGTGCTGGTTCCCGGGATGTGTCTCATAGAGGTGGACACAGGCGGCAAGGCTGCCCTAGGGACTGTAGCCAGCCTGCCCTTCCTCGGGCAAGGGTTTTTTGAGGGGTGAATGTTGAGATGTTCTGAAGTGAGATATATTGTAGAGGGGGCCATGGGGGTGTGGACCTTTGTTCTTTAAAGCCCTCACATTTTCCACCCGTCCGCTGTTGTCAGAGAATGAACTGCTTCTAAGGGAGAGAGTCCAGGGAAACAACAGCCGTGATCAGTGTAAGCACGAGCAGTTCTTTTCAGCTACTGACATTTCATCCTTAGGACGAGTTATTAGCTGGGAAGAAAAGGAAGCTTCTGATGCTGGAGCAGCTCCAGTGAGCGGCTCTGGTTCTTTTAAGTGTAACTGTGGTGTCTGCAGGACCACCGGATTTTCAGACACTGGATTGAAGGTACAGATTGAAAAGAGAAGCTTATGTGAGTTTTTTTTCATATTGTGTGTACTAATACAGTACTTAAAACCAATTTAGTTCATCATACATCATGAAATATTCTAGTTATAGTTGATCTTATATCCTGTTATAAAATTAATGCCTCTACATTCTATTAACAAAAATATAATCGTATTCTAGTTACTAGTTTTTTAGTGTATGCTTTTGTCTTTCATTAAGTGTAGAGGAAATAGGACTAGCAAAATTAGTGGAATTGTTTCTGATTTTGTACGCACGATCGTACTTAGTCTCCCCGTAGCTGAATGGCACACGTGCTACCACACATTCAGTGGAGGAGCGCAAGGCTGCCATCAGTCTCTTGCTGCTTAGATCATTTAGAGTGTGGCCTACACAGTTGGCATTGAATCATTATAAAATAAATAGTGACGAATGGCCGGATTTATCTTGTTTTTATATTATAAAACCAGGTAATAAATATTAGATGTACATCATTTAAATCTTGGCTGCTTTTAAATGTAACCTAAAAAGATACATTATTTGATGGCTTCCTTAATTGATTCCACACTGCTTTTTATAATATTCCCTGAAATATGTTTCACGATGTTTATTTGAATTAAAAAATGAAGTTGGACCTTTTATCAGAAGTGAGTTTGTGGTGCTGACCGTCCTGGCAGTGAGGCCTGATCGTGCACTGCTGCTTGGGCTTCATGGCACATGCTGCCACTCAGTTGAAGGAGTGGAGCCTACAGCTGCAAAACTGTGATGAAATTTTATTTAAATAAAAAGACCATTTTATTAAAAATATATTTTTTTTGCTTGAGGAAGATTCTCCCTGAGCTAACGTCTATGCCAGTCTTTCTCTGTTTTGTATGTGGGACACCACCACAGCATGGCTGATGAGTGGAATAGATCCGAACCCATGAACCTGGGCGGCTGGAGTGGAGCACACAGAACTTAACCAGTTGGCCGTGGGGCTGGTGTGCCAAAAAAATAGATCTTTTTTAATTGGCAGAAATGTATGCTGACTATGTCTGAGTCCAGCAGTGAGTGATACACACAGACAGAAGAGCTGCCTGGGAAACAAGTGGCCGGAACACTCTTCTTGAGATGCATTTTCATAATCAGCCGTCAAAGTTTCTGTTCTCTCGTTTTGATTGGGTTTGCATTGCTAATAATTGTAGTGGTAACTCAGTTGTTCAGATGAGAAATTTTAACTCCTAGAAAGTATGTTTAAATAAATAAAAATAATACTAAAACTTCAATTTATGTATATATTTTTATTTCAGGGAAATACCCTAGGGTGATAAATGACTTCAAAGCATGAGAATGCATTCAAGTAGAATTCCAGAGGTGGTGGAATAGTGTACCCCTCCAAGGAGAGTGGGAAGTCAGGTAGCATTTCTGTTAGGGAAGAGCAAGTGACGTATGCCCCTCACCTCCTTCCTTGCACTAGTCCCAGCGCTGCTGTGTTGTTTGAAAGCTGTATAGCAGTGAGGAGAAGTGTGGAGAACAGCCAGAGCGAATCCAGCACTTGGGTGGCTGGGTTCCCTGAGGTGCAGAACCCAGCAGGTGGAACAGCAAAGGAAGTACTCAGGGATGTATGGAACTGCGCTTCCCCACAGTGAAGGGGCTGAACTGTGCTGCTCGGACCTGAGACTCGCCATCCAACATCCTGGGTGTAACTGCACTTCAGAGATAAAGGATTCTTCAGGCACCTGGGGAGAAGGCGTCAGGCTGTGTGCAGGAAAACGCCTCCAGAGCCCTGGCTGTCAGGTGCCAAGGGCCAGGAGCTGTGCCCAGGAGTTCATCCCGGCTGAAGGCCACCGACGTCCGCAGCATGCAAGCACTCGGGGCGTGCGGGGCTGTGAGAGATGTGGAGGCGTCTGGAGTGAGATGAGCAAGGATCAGACGTGGTGCTCGCCTGGGGCTCCCAGTCTGCAGCTGGGACCCCTGGACTCATGTCGGCCTGAAACCTTAGAGCAAAACCTGATGGAACAAAGACAGCTCATCCTGGGTAGCAGCGTTAACCAGTCCTGTTTAAAATGGAAACTTACTAGTCCAAAAACCTAAACAAAGGATCCAGCCTCTCATATTTTTAATCTTTTCTGTTTCACTTTAGAAATTAGAGATTATCACAAATATTTTCCAGAAGTTTAGCAAGTCCTTCAGTTTCACTTGTTTCTTTTCCTTTTGTTAAATTCAACAAAATTAAATTTAAGACTTTTATTAAGATTAATTCTGTGCTGTTCCTTGTAAGATTGTCTTACGGAACCATTCATATACGTGCGTCCAGGGACACAGCAGTAGCACCACCTAAACTTCCCCGGGGCTCACTGGGAGCCAGGCACTGTTCTAAACTCTTATCACATATCTCCTTACTTAATCCTCCCCAGTCTCTGCGGGAGGGGCTATTGCTCCCGTTTTACAGGCAGAACACAGGCCAGGCTCAGGTTACTTGTCCAGGGTCCAGGAGCACGGTCACTGGAGGAGCCAGGATTTGAATCCAGGCCATTGGTCTCTGGCTCCAGGGTCTCCTGCTGCTGACAAACCATGTGGGTGTCAGAGAAACCCTTTCTGGGTCTTAGGACTTTTTCTTTCTTCCTTGTACTTAATTTTTTTAAGAGCGTATTTTTATGATCCCAATGAAGTGATGGACAGAATGAAGGTGGACAGAAACAGCCTGAAGGATTTGGCGGCTATTAAGCATGTGCTGGGGTGCCCAAGGTCGAGGACACGGGCCTGCTTTCTCCCTCCCCTTTTCTGCGGTCCTGCTGCTCGGCGTGGTCGTTGTGCTCAGTGGTTTCGGGTTCTTCTGCACGCCTGGAGCTGTTGGAGTTGGGGGATGAGGAAGAATCTGCCCTCAAGAGACGGGCAAGTGGAGTCTGATTGCTGTGTGTCCAAAAGAGATGTATGAGAAATTGGCTAAACTTTCCAATCAAAATCCTGTTTTTTCCACCTCCTACCTTGTGACTCTCCCTGTTGAGTAAGGTTCAGTCTGCAAGGCTGTGCAGAGTGACAGCGGGACGGCCGTCTCCCCGCGTGTGGCCTCAGTGAGGGCAGGCCCCAAGCAGTGCACTGTACATTGTGTGTTTCCTTTCAGGCGCCCCGGGGTCTGCTCAGAGGAGGACGAAAGGTGGCAGACTCAGTCCTGCTCACTTCCACACGAGCCAGAGCGGTTGGTTGTGTGGGAACCTCGTGGTGCCCAGTGGAGGCCTGCCAGCACCAGCTCCAGCGGCCGGGGTGCAGTGCTTTCAGGTCCAGTTACTGCAGGTAAGAACCAGCGAGCCAGAGGAGGAGGCCGGACGAGGGCTGTGGGCAAGGCCTCGGGGCTCATCTCCCTGAGCCTGCCCCGCTGCCGGGTGCCCCGTCCTCACAGTGAACTGCCCCCACCCCACCCTGCGCCTGTTGTGCTCCTTAACTATCTCTCCACAATCCCAGCTTCTCCCTTCCCGCCCTGTCACACCACGTTTGTCGAGCTTTCACCTTTATCGTGATGGACACGTGTGTGTCCTAATGCTCACCCTCTGTCTGGCTCCCCCGACGCGGTCTGTCGTCGGCATCTCCCCTGGAGTTCTGTGAGGTGTGGACACTGTTGTTTCTGGCCACATGGGCACCGTCGGTGCCTCACTCCTCCTGGTGCTGCCCATCCCCAGCCCCTGCTTCTCTTTTCAGGCCTGGGGTGAAGGGGCTTCCTCAGTGGCTTGGTCACCCCCATCTCTGGGGACTGGTCATCGCACGCCAGAGGATATAGCCTATATAGGTTAAACATGCTAGCTTCTTATTCCTGTTTTCTTCCCTACCAAACCGACCCCCTTAAGGGCAGTGCCAGCCACCTCTTGACTGCCTGGGGCCCAGCAGCTGGCATCCACTCCATGGGTGCTCACTGGACACGCTCACCTCCACAGTTCTGGACACCTTCACTTCCAGTCTCATCTTTGAAGGGCCAGAATAGGGAAGTACCATAATTTGGGCGGGTTTTGGGAGAGAAGAGGTTTAAAAGCTGAGGATGTGAACCCCGCCCTGGTCCAATCACATGCTGTTTCTTCACTGAGCATCTTCTGGGCCTCAGAGGACCACGCGGCCAGGGAGGCACAGAGACAGCGTAGGACTTTGAAGTGGCGAGCTGAGTGAGAAGAGCAGGGTGACCACATCCGTGGGGTCTGGGATCCTGGGAGAGGCTGTGGAGAGTCTGTAGGGTTCAGATAGGAAAAAGAGAGGTGGGGGGGGCGGCATAGGTGGAGGGCCTGGAAGCCGGGCTCAGTGAGTGGCCTCACTCTGGTAGAAAACCAGAAGCGGGTGTGAGGATTTGGTTGGGGCAGAACTCGGGAAGGTTTGTCTGCATAGATGAGTAGGAAACATGTTCCTTCTTTCCAGGTTTGGGGCCAGGGGGTTGGAGAAATAAAGAGATAAAGGATTCTCCCAAGGTAGGGGTGGGCAAGGTTAGGGGGGACCCATCCCAGCCTTTCTGGATGTGGTCACAACTGGCAGGTCAGAAGTGGGAAAGGCAGGACCAGAGGGTTTTGAAATGGAGACGGCAGGAAAGCTGGTACCATTGGCAGAAAAGGAGCTAGTTGGAAAGGGAGTAGCAGTTATTTTTTTAAGAAACACCCAATTAAAGCTGTAAGCTTTGAGGCAGAAAATCTGGGTTTTAAGTCTTTCCTTTCTCCTTACCAGCTAGTGTAGTCTTGAGCAAGTTAGTTAAGCAGTCTGGGCTTTGGTTGTATCATCTGTAAAATGGGAGTGCTTGGTGCTTGACACAGAAGGTTCTTGAGGCTGTGGGAGGAATGAGAGATGCTGATGGTGGTGGTAGCACCAGGAGTTCGGTGGTGGGGGCTGGCCGCAGATGGAAGGCGAAGTGTTAAACAGTGTCCCTTTTCTTAACTGGACAGTTAGGGGCCTGGGAACAGCCCCCTCGGGGAGACCCGCCATCTCTCTGGTCCCTTCCGGCTCTGTCGTGGGCTGGGGCCAGGGCCGAGGTGAGCTTCTTGTGGTGTGCGCAGGTCGCTGGAGAGCAGCGAGGGCCTGGGGAAGGCTCCGGGAGCCCCCGCCAGAGTTCAGGCACAGTCCAGAGCAGGGCAGTGGTGCTTGGACTGGAGGTGGGTGAGTGCGGGGGTGCCAGGAGATGGCTGGGAAGGAGGAGCAGCCAGATGGCAGTGTGCTCAGGCTGGGGTCAGAGTGAGAGAACATGGACTGGGAGGAGGGGTTTGCAGGCCCCAGCCCCGGGTGCCAGGTACTGCTGGGTCCTCAGGCCTTGCCTGGCTCGGGGGCTGTCTGACCTGCAGCACAGTGGGTGGGGCTGGTTCTACTGCGTGTCAGGGACAGCCCTTCTCAGACCGAGGTGAGGAATGTTGCCGCGCTTGGTACTGTAACTGTGCTGTTGCCTCCCCAGGATGACCCCTTGGGGGAAGGAGCCTTGCCGGTGGCCCTCAGCCCGCAGCCGCCCACCTTCCGCCCGCTGCTCGCCGTTGACATGCCCGTCTATGTCCTCCAGGTCTGGACGCCTCCCAGCTCTGGGTGTGCTAGTAAGACTGTTAGAGGCTTCTGCCTCTGCGAGTCTCGTCACGGAGGTGGGCCTCATTGGGTTGGGTGCCAGGATGTTTGCTGTTTCTAGAAAAGGTGGGTAAATGACCAAGAAATAAAAGGCTAGGAGAACTCAGTCATTGCAGCTCCTAATTGTAAACAAGGTGGAGTTTACTATACTCTTAAAGTGTTTTATATTTAGAAATTCTGGTCACTTTCTCCTGTGGGAAGCAGGCTGGCCAGCCTTTACCTGTGGGAGAACCCAGCCAGACCAGTTACCTTACAGCCCGTCGTGCGCTGCACCGCCGCGTCGCGGTCGATGATGGACTGCGCGTACGATGGTGGTGCCGTGAGATTTAGTGCCACGCAGCCTGGGTGTGTAGATGACTGTACCTCTAGGTCTGTGAGAGGGCACTCCATGGTGTCTGCGCAGTGACGGCCACGTTTTCTAGAATGTGTGCCTGTCGTTAAGTGACACCTGACTGTAAATAGTTTGCTTAAGTAAGTGGTTAGGCTGAGAATAGGTGACAATGGATAATTCAGATTTGGATATAAAATAAGGTAGCTTATCAAATTTCTAACAATTTGGCTTAAATATATATTTTTAAAATCCATACGAGTATTAATTTTAGTTTTGTTGCATTCAAATTAGGCTCTTGAACATTTCGTTAATATCAAAAATAGATATTGAATGAAGAGGTGGTACAAGGCGGTGGCGCGAGGGGCGTACCCAGACTGCTGGAGTGGGGTAGATTGGAGGGCAGATCAGAAACAGGCCAGAAAGCCCCGTAAACGTCTGCTCCGTTCTGTCGGGCATTCGCACTCATGAGATTGTTCCTAAAGAAATCAGGTAGTGTGCAAATAACTAACCCAAAGATGTGCATCGTAGCCTCGAATCTAATGACGTGGGGATGTTCCTTCTAGCAGGAGGAGGTGAATTAGGCGGGTGATGGTGTAGCCGTGGGGCTGAGTCCTGGGCAGCCATCGATGGCCAGGCGGATGCCTGATACCTGGGCAAGATGCTTCCCACATACTGAGTGGGAAAAGGGTTATAGATGAAATAAGGATAGTCTCAATTTTGAGAAAACCTACAATGCAAGTATTGGGTTTATTTTTTTCCGTATTTTTGTTTATATTAATATCTTCTTCGAGGAACCTACGTTTAAAATAAGAGGAAACCATGTCATTTTAATCGAGAAAAGTCAGGCGCACCTTTGTGGCTCCAGGGCGTCTGCTGGTGGTTGGTGAGCGGCTGTGTGGCTGCCCCTCCTCATGGCTCTGCTTGCCTTTGCAGGAGGTGCTTCCTGCAGCTGGCGGGGCCGCTGGACCTGAGGACGTGCAGTGCCCAGGGAGCACGGTCAACCTGCGGGACCTGCAGTGACAGCTGCCCTCTGCCTGGGGACCAAGGACAACGCCTCCCATCCCTGTTCCCCCAAGACTTTGGTCCATGGTCTTGCAGGCCTGGGTGAGACCTTGGTTTCTGCTCAGAAGGGCAGCCTAGTTCTTCAGAGACTTTGGGGTACATTTATTGAAAATGTTTTCCTTACATTTTATCAGGAACCAATTTGGGGCCGTGCTATTTGAAACTGCTATGTATGAGCAGAGTGCTTCGGTGAGGCAAGGCTTGCCTTCAGAGCAAAATGCACAACTTTCCTGTGCTGGGCTGTGCGTGGACATCCCTGTCCCATTCGATCTGAGCCATGGAGCACTTGTTCATTTAAGGAAACACATTGTGCAGGAAAATAGGGTCGAGTTTGTTTCCCTAGTCAGACACAGCTTTCTCTGTGGTAAAACCAAATGGGGTCTTTCAGCTTCTGTGTTGTAGCATCTGGCTTGAGAGAGACAGAAGCACCCGTATCCCTTCTGAGAGCTGTGTACCAGGCCATTTCCCCACGCCTTGGCTGGTGTTCCTGGTCGGGTTGATTTTGTCACACTCCGGGGCAGAAGTGGTCCCTTTGTCACAGTGAGGCCAGATTCTAATGCATGTTCCGGCAGGCCAGGCGGGCAGCTGGTGTGAGAGGAAAATAATGGGGGGTGACATGGGGCACATTGGGGGCATCTTAGCAAGTCCTCAGCATAAACCGGATTTAGAGCTCATAGTTGGGGATGATAGAGTTAAAACTTTTTCAATATTTTTTTAAATTCTGTATTTGGGTATTAACATTTAATAGTAATTTGACAATGGTTTATAATGTTCTGAATACTGTAAATTATGTGTAGGACTGTAATAATGGCATGTATATGTTTTCTGTTGTTGAGGTTGAAGATGTCATATGCTATGTCAGTGTATATTTTTATAGAGTAAGGTCTGTCTTGCAAAAGGAGACGAGTTGATAACCTTGCACATATTTATTTGATAATTAGTTAGCAGACTGGACACACTCAGAAATGGGTTTTTGCCTTGTTCCTTTTGAAGTGTATGTTGATTCAGATGCTACTTTGGTTCTTAGACTCGGAATTATCCAAACTCTACCCGTTCTGTGTTTCTTCGTTTCTTAAGATTTTGGCCTTTGGCTTCTGAGAGTGACCCCAGTGTTTGATTGTGATCCCTCGCTCTGTCTTGCTCTGAGGTGCTGTCTGTCCAGGGGTGCTTCTCCACCCAAAGGAACCCAGGCCGTATTTATAAACGGTTCTCACCCACAGAACTCTCTGCTGTGTCACAGACTGAAGTTGTGCCCCAGTGAATGTCCACCACAAAGGGACTGGTATGGCCGTCAGTTTCTGGGCATTGAGGTTCCCTGCTGGCAATGGGCCCAACTCCTAGTGCAGATGAATAAAAGTTTTTGTATAGTCATGCACTGGAGATTTCGCTTGGCTTAATTCAAGGATCCGCGTGTATAGTGTTGGAATTGTTTCTCCTTGGTAGTGCTCAGAGCCCTCTCATCTGTCCAGCCTGCTGCCCACTGTTCTCACCTTTGCGCTGGGCTAATGCCACGCCACAGCTCAGCGTGCAGCTGGCTGTTGTCTTTCGGCTCAGCTGTGGTAGATGAGAGCCAAGATGGGCCCCTTCCCTCAAGCCTTTGCTTAGGGTTAAGTGACTAAAGCCATTTGGAAACAGCGTCTGCCTCCTTAAAGAGGCCTTCAAGACACCAGAGAGACATGGAGTTTATTTCAGGGGAGTAGGGAAACGTACAGCAGGAGGCCTGGGGCGCAGCCTGTCTCTGCTTCCTGCCGTCGTGTCTCCTGCGCCGTGAGCCAGGCCGGCGGCCCGGCAGGCTAGGTGAAGAAGAACAGCTGCTCCTCCTTGTCCTTGTCCATCAGCACGTGCTCAGGCTCCTTCTTGGTTTTCAGAGCCGGGGGCCGGGAGCGGCACACCAGTCTTCTGCCTCTCTGTGGAGGAAGTGAGCCCTGTGAGCCTGTGCTCCGTGGCTCCCTGCGCCAGGCTGCCGCCGACACGCCGAGCTGTCAGACACCCTGTCCCAGGTGGCCAGGAGCTGCTGAGCTGGACTGGGGGTCCCTGTGGACTGTCCCACCCTCTCTGGTCACTCCTGGTCAGCTGGAGGGCCAAGGGCTGGAGTTGCCCTGAAATGACCCAGGAGTGTGAGTCTCTCCCACATTTACAAAGCCTGTTCCCTGGGGTGCCAGCCCCTAGATGTGTGTCTGGAAAGGGGCGCCTGGGAACACAGATCGGGGCTGCAGGCTGAACAGAGGAAGCCCGTCTCTTGCTGTGGGGACTCTGGAGGAGACCCTGCAGTGTCCGCGGTTCCCCACGTGGCAGTGTGGAGAGTGCCGATCGTTCAAAGGAAAGCCCGTTGGCCTCCTTTGTCCATTGGGGGCCGTTTCGAGGCTCAGGCCTGCTTAAGGGATACACCTCCTGTTGCCAGGGCCAGAAGGCAAGGGGCTGCTCCAGCCTATTGGCTGTTGGGTGGAGGCCTTAGGACACAGCAGTCAGGGGGACCCCTAGTGACAGGTGATGAGAGTGGCCTGGAGTCTGGCTGCAGTGTAGGTGATGCTGTGGGACCCTGGGGGCTGAGCTGTTCGTGCCAGCTCTGAGCTGAAGCCTGTACCTGGGCAGGGCTGGAGGGCACAGCCGGGCCAGTAACTGACCAGGAGTGTGTGTGCAGGAGGGTCAGCATCCCCAGAGGAAGGCGTCTGGAGGAGGCAGTCCAAGAGGGAGGGCAGCCCTGGGGGCAGCGGAGACCATGCTCCACCCTAATGGCCCCATCCCTACCCCAGAGTCTCTGCAGTAGCGTCTGCAAAGGGGACGAGCCAGGTTCACTGCAGGCCCTGAGCCCCTCCCAGGCCTGTGGTGCCTGCTGGTGGGACCCTTCCCCAGCAGGGACTCCCCAGGGCCACCCTGCCCACCTTCTTCTTGATCTCGGCCTGGGCCCGAGCCCGGGCCCGCTGTAGACGCTCTTCCTGAAGCTGCTTCTGCATCTTGACCTTCTCTTCCCGGAGTCTGGGTGGCAGTGGCAGCAAGAGACGGATTAAGGACTGGGGGGCCTGGGGAGGTTGCCACATCCCCTTCCCAGCTCCTTCCCACGCAGCCCTCAGTCAGCCCTCGCCCTCCCTCTTCTGAGAAAACTCCCCATTCCTTTCCACCCTTCCCTCCAGCTTGGGGCCTTGCTTCTGCCCCTGCTTCTTAGGGGTCCCAGCTCTGGGCTTCTGTGGGAGACCATCTGAGGTTCATCAGCTTGTACCCCCAGGAGGCCCAAGTTCCTGATCACCGATCCACTGCCCAGGGCTCCCTCATTGTCACCTGTGAAGGCCCAGCCCCCAAGAAGGTCAGGAGTTCTGTCTCCTTCCTATCTATACTTGTGGTCATCAAACCTTTGCCCAGTGCCTGCTCCGAGCAGGGTACTGGGGACACAGAGGAAGAGGCCCTGTGCCTGCGGGAGAGCCGGATGGCTGGGTCTAAGGGCTCTACACACAAGTGAATGAGCCAGGCAGCCCACAGGCCAGAGGAGCCTCAGCCCCGGGACTCATCTGCACCCCATTGGGCCCGGGGTGGGCCTCTTCTTGGGGGACAGGCCCATGCCACCCGCATCCAGCATTCTGACACTGCCAGCTCTGCCTGCCTGCCCCCAGCACTAAACTCTGCGCTCCCCTTAGCTGCTCCCTGAGTCTGTACCCTCCCTCCCCTGGCCTCTGGCAGTGCCAACCTCTTTCCCTCCAATCCAGCCAGGAAGACGGCTGTTGCTGTCCCTTGTCCTCAAGGGTGAGGCTGTGCTGGCCACACCCTGACTTTGGCTCGTGGGCTCCCTGACTCCGCATCGTCCCTCACTCCAGAAGAGGAGCTTCCCTCACTGGGTCTGAGTTGGGTGCCCCCTCTGGATCCCTGCAGACCCCTGGCTTCGGTCTCTCCCAGCGTGGAGCCCCAGTTCCTGCCCCCGCTGGCGAGGGGGCTCTCTGAGGGCAGGACCGTGTCTGACCTCCCCTGGTGTGAGGGCCCTTACTTCAGGCGCCGCTCCTTCTCCTTGGCCTTCTCGGCCTGCTCGATCTTGGCCTGGGGCACACGCTCCAGGTTCTCAAGCAGCTCGTCCAGCTGGTGCTCGATGACGGTCAGCATCTGCACAGTGCCCAGGTTGGACTCCTGCTGGGTGCCGACGCACTGCCGGTACACGTCCAGCACCTTGTGGTTCAGGCTCTCCAGCAGCTTGTCCTGCGAGGCAGACAGCCTCCAGGGGGTCTGTCAGGCCTGGGCCCGCCCCTGCTCCACAGCCTGTCAGACCCAGGGCCCTCGCCGCCACCTGGCTGACCTCCCAGGGCCTACACGGCACGCAGAGGGGGCTCGGGAAGCATGGGGGACACAGAAGTTGGACGGCAGGATTTTTCCTTGGCCAGAGCTGCCTGATGCCCTCGCCCTCCTGTGGTCAGCCAGATACTGGGCTCCAGCCTCCACTGAGGCTCCCACCTGCGCCTCAGCTCCTCCGTTAGCTGCCTCAGTGGCCCACTGAGGCCCAGTCCCCTCCTCTGGAGAGTCCTCCCTGTTCTGCCCCTGCACTGACCTCAGCTCCCCACAGGACCACATCCTGCGACATACATTTTGTGTGGCTCTGGGCCAAGGAACTCCCCTCTGTGAGCCTGTTCTGACATTCAGAAAACAGTTAACATCCCTGCCACATGAGGGGCATGAGGATTAAATAAGGAACAGAAAGAGCCTCTGGCCAGGCCTGGGGCGCAGCCAGTGCCCAGTGAAGTCCAGCAGGAGGTGGAAACACACTGGCCTGCTTGTTGTCGCAGCCTGTGTTCCCGGCCCAGTGCCTGTACACAGTAGGTGCTCGACAGTCATTTGAGTGAATTAGGAAGCTGGGTCCACGCACATGGCCCCCAGCACGTTGTCAGGAAGGGTGTGCGCTGAGGCCCAGTCCCGCTACTGGAAACATCCCTGGCCTTCTGTGCCTTCAGAGTTCTCACCCGCCCAGCGTGGCCTGGGGACGTGGGTGTCTTCCTCCCAGCAAGGTCGCCTTCTAGATACATTGTATGTGTTTAAGAAGCAGGCATATTTGTTGAATGAAAGAACAAAGGGATGGAGGAGGTATGTTGGGCACAGGGCCACAGGGTGTAAATACACGGCAGGGCTCCGGTTTGGGGACCAAGGGCCTTTTCCAGCCAGTGCCCCTTGGTCAGGCCCACAGAGCCTGGCAGGTGGCGAGAGGCCACATGCAGCCCCAGAGCCCTGTTCTCCTGCTGTCGGAGCTCCGGGCCCCAGGCCTCCTCTCAGCAGGTGCCTGTGATCGGGCGTCTCCCCTGGTCTCTGCCCACCCCCACTCCATCTGCCCACCGCCCGCTGGCTGCCATCCGGGGGCCTACCTCCTGAGCACCCTTGTACTCGCCGAAGTGGAAGACTCGGGCTTTGAGCTCCAGCTCGGCGGCTGTCTCCTCCTCCTTGGTGATGGACATCATCAGCGTGGTGATCCACTGCTTCAGCTGGTTGACCTCCCTGTCCCTGGATGGGGGACCGGCAGGGCCCTGCCCACTCAGCGTGGCCTGGGGCACCTCACTTCTCTGAGCCTGAACCCCGGGCCACTGTCCTGAGGGCTAAAGGACCATGACTGCAAAGTGTCTGCATGCCCAGGGGTCAGACATGCTGGTGGAACATTTAAGATCTTTAACGATCAACGCTAAAAAAAAATAACTTTATTCAGGTATAGTTACGTGTGATAAAATTTTTTAAAATGTACAATTGAGTAGTTTTTAGTATACAGCCATTATCATAATGTAATTTTAGAACGTTTTCATCACCCTGAGAGAAACCCGGTACCCGTTCCTGGTCACTGCCTGTCCTCCTCCTCCCTCCTTTTTGTCTCCTGGACAGCTCATGAACATGGAGTCATACAACATGTGGCCTTCTGTGTCGGGCTGTGCTTCAGTGTGCTGTCAAGATCCGTCTATGCTGTGGCACGTATCAGAACTTCCTCCCTTTTTGTGAGCGTGTGTAGCCCACGCTTTGCTGATGCTGATGGGCATCTGGCTGGTTTCTGCCTTTTGGCTCTTGGGAATAATGGTGCTGTGTACATTCTCAGACAAGCCTTTGTGAGGACATGTTTTCAATTCTCTTGGGTATATATATTTACAAATAGAATTGCAACAAACAACTTTTAAATAAAATAATAAAAATAATAATAAAAAATCTTTTGGGCCAGCTGGTGGTTACTGGTTGAGTTTGGTGTGCTCCACTTTAGTGGGCTGGGTTCGGTTTCCAGGTGTGCACCTATGCCACTCGTCTGTCAGTGGCCATGCTGTGGCGGCAGCTCACATACAAAAAAAAAAAAAAAAAGATTGGTAGCAGATGTTACCTCAGGGAGAATCTTCCTCAGCAGAAAAAAGAAACAAAAACCTTTCATGATCATGGCAGACAGTGACCATTGTATATTGGGGTTTCCTGAGTGGGAATACTCGCTCTAGGGCTGTCATGGGTTCACCCAGTGCAGGCAGCTGTGTGCGAGTTCCACATGGACATCTGGCCACTCCACCAGCAGAGCAGTGCCCTGGAGGCCCAGAGGTGCTCCCTGCCCCCATGATGATTTTGTGGCTTTCTCCCCATTTGTTGATAGAGCCTACTGACATTTTCTCCATCACAAGCAAAGCGCCATGGGATGTACTCCTTTCCCCACAGGGGTTCCATGGCCTGTCACATGCACCACCACAGGGGTGCAGGCCACAGGCCCCCAGGCTGCACCCCATGGCTTTGGGGCTAAGGGCTGATGCCAGAAGCCTGTGAGAGGGGTGCTGAGATGGTGGCCGGCTTTCTGGAGCTGATGCTCAGAGGCTGATGCCAGAGAGGCCACATGTAGCTCACACACACCCCACCTGCCTGGGCACTGCTGGGGTGCATGAAGGGAGCCTGGGATGCCATCTGAGAGCACCTCCTGGCATCAGGCCCCCCTTCCATCCCTGAATGCCCACTGCAGGGGCGTATGCCTTTGGGGTCGGTGGTACATCTGAACGGTACATGATTGCATTCGGCTTTAACTTCTTCTTCAATACCATACTTCCTTCGCTTTCAACACCTTAGCTGGTGAGTGTGATTCCACAGCCGGCGCAGCCGTGTGCCTTTGCCCTCCTTTGGACTGGGCAGTGGTAGTGGGGTGGTTCTGTTTCTTCGCTGGTAATTGAGACATATACCTTTTCCCCAACTAGTTCTCTTTAAATATAAAATTGTTGGGTCACCATCTTTTCTTCTCAGATAGATCCCATTGCCAATTTACTGGAAATGCAGAGGCACGAGGGACACATTGCTCAGCACTGGTCTGCAGACCAGTGTGTGTGTCAGCTGCGCAGCTGCGCATTTGTCAAAGATGCAGAGTCTGGGCCTTCCCCGGGGCCTGCCCAGTCAGAGCCTCTATTTAACAAGGTCCCCGGGGAGTCCAGTGTACACAGTCTGAGGAGCAGTCCACTGCCAGCAGAGGGGCCTGGATTCTTTAACAACTGGACTGCAAGGGGACCAGAGGGAGAGGGAACCTATAGATCAAAAGGGATTTAAAGACACAACCAGCTGCAAAGTGTGATCTTGTTTGGATTCTAATTCAAACTAAGTTTAGAAACTCCAACTATTTATGGGTTATGGATAATCTATGTTCAGGGTTACTGTTTTTTTTTTTTTAAAGATGTGATGATGGCATTGTGGCTATGTTAAAGAGCCCTTATCTTTTTAGAGATACCTACTGAAATATTTACAGATGAAATGATACAGTGCCTGGAATTTGCATCAAAATACAGGAGATGGGGAAGTGGGTGGGGTCTCAGTGAAAGGAGCTTGGCTGTGAGTTGCTCACTGCTGAAGCTAGTGATGGGGCCTTGGGGGCTCATTATACTATTCTGTCTGGTTTTGTATATGTTTATATGTTTGAAATTTTCCTGGAGCTATTGGATTGAATTGGAGAAATTATAAAAAAATTTTTTAAAAGGTTACAAAAAGAGGACCCCTTTATAAATACCTGGAGGTGTATAACCAGAAAGTTTCTTAGACGAGTGTTAAAAAAAAGAAAAGCAAGCACCACCAAATGTAAATAAGGGTCATTCAAAAGGCCAAGCAGAAGAGAAAGAGTTACCATATTCCTGCAGACATAGCAGCAAAAAGAACAAAAATAAAATATTTTGAAGAATATTTTGACGGAGGAGTAGGAAGCACTGAGAATCTGTCTCCACCTAGACGACAGTTACACTGGCAGAATCTGGCTGATGGAACCATTTTGGAACTCTGGGGTCTATGGAAGGCTTGCACCTTCCAGGGGAAGGCTGAACTGGTAAATGGCAGTTAATTTTGGTCAATTTCAGCTCTTAGCACAGTAGGCTCCCCTTCCCCAACCTCTCAGCTGGTGGCAGGCAGCTTTGCATGTGTTCCTGGAGCAGGTTGTGCACAGCTCAAGGAGCTGGAGTGGGCAAAAAGGGCCCTGTCCTCTAAATACCAGGGATCTGTGCTCTCTGATCCCTGGTTGCTGCTTCTGATTACAGAGGTTCAGACGAACAGGCAGGCAGGCATTGTTGCACCATCCCCATTGTTGCAAGCCTCTCCCCCTCTGGCTGAAGTGACTTCCGGGGGATTTAAAGGACTGGTGCTCTTTTCCCCCTCCCTTCATTTTTTGCTTTTTCCCCTTCTGAGAGCCAGACGTTAAAGACCTAGGACATTCAAAAATAACTGCACATACAGGGAAAATTATAATGTGACCATGCACGCCTGGGGAAAGGCTCGAAAAAGACCTAAGAAGAACTTAAGTTTACAGCAGAGATGGCCTGCAACATTCAAATAAGAAAAAACAATAACAACAACAATAAATAGGAAATACTCTGGTAGGGAGAAAATCTGATTTCCAGAGTTACATTATTAGATTCAAATGTTCAGTGTTAAAAAAAATCACAAGGTATATAAACAAACAGGAAAGTATGACCCATTCAGAGGGAAAAAAGAATCAACAGAAACTGTTCCTTAAAAAAACAGGATGGCAATATACTACAAAGACTTTAAAACAACTGTTTTAAAGATGCTCAAAGAACTAAAGGAAAATGTGGAGAAAGTCAAGAAAACAATGTGTGAAGAAAATGGAAATATCAATAAAGAGATAAAAAACCTAAAAGGAAACCAAAAAATTTCTAGAGTTGAAAAAAGTACAATAATTGAAATGAAAATTTCACTAGAGGGGTTCAAAGGTAGATTTGAGCAAGGAGAAGAAAGAATCAACGATTTTGAAGATAGGACAATGGAAATTATCAAGTCTGTGAACAGGAAGAAAAAGACTGAAGAAAAGGAAGCAGAGCCTAAGGGACCTGTGGGCACCATCAAGCGATGCATCAGATACGCACTGTGGGGTCTCAGGAGAGAGAGGGAAAGGGCAGAGAGAACATTTGAAGACTTAATGGCTGAAAACTTCCTAGATTGGATGAAAGACATGAATATAAACATTCAAAAAGCTCAAGGAGCTCTAAGTAGGAGGAAATCAAAGAGACTCACACTGAGACACGTTATAATCAAACTATCGCAGGATAATCACAAGTAAAAGGCAAAGAATCTTGAAAGCAAGCAAGAAGCAAATCATTACATACAGAAGATCCTCAATAAGATGATCCGCAGATTTCTCACCAGAAACTTTGGAGGCCAGGAGACAGTGGGCCAACATATTCAGAGTGCTCAGAGGAAAAAGTCCTGTCAACCAAGAATTCTCTATCTGGTAAAACTGCCCTTCAAAAGTGAGGGAAAAGTTAAGACATTCCCAGATAAAAGCTGAGGGAGTTCATGACCACTAGACCTGCCGTGCAAGAAATGCTCAGGGGCGCCCTGCAAAGTGAAATGCAAGGACGCTAGATAGTTGATAGATGGGTAGGCTAGCTAGCTAGCTAGATAGGACATAGATAGTCAAAGCTGTATGATGAAATGAAGACCCCAATAAAGGTAAATACACGGGCAATTATAAAAGTTAGTATAAATGAAACACTGGTTTATGACTGTACTTTTTTCTACGTGATTTAAGAGACTAATACATTTAAAGACAAAAAAATAATTAGTGTAAAAGCTAATATCAGTGACTTTTTTGTTTGTAACTCCAAATCTTGTTTTTTACATAATTTAAGAGACTAATGCATTTAAAAGAATTTTAGTTTATGTTTGGGGCACAGAATATATGAAGATGTAATTTTGTGACATCAGCAACAAAAAGGAGTGGGGACAGATCTGTAAAGGAGCAGAGTTTTTGTATGCCACTGAAGTTAAGGTGGTATAGATTCAAATTAGAGTGTTACAACTTTAGAATATTAAATGTAATCTCCATGGTAACCACCAAGAAAATCGCTATAGAACATACACAAAAGCAACTAAGAAAGGAGTTTAAACATTCTGCTACAAAAAAATCAACTAAACACAAAAGAAGACAGTAATGCAGGAAATGAGGGACAAAAAAAGCTGTAGGGCATATAGAAAACAAGTAGCACAATGACAGAAGTCCCTCCTTATCA